TTAACGTTAACGTTAACGTTAACGTTACGTTAACGTTAGTTAGTTAGTTAGTTAGTTATTATTATTATATATTTTTTTTATATTTTTATTAGATTCTCCTATTTTTTAATAATCAACTCTCAAAATTTCAAGTGAGTTGGATTTGTACGAAAAAAAATGAAAAATTCAAACACGAAATGAGGTCGTGACCAATGGATCGGGCCGAGATTCAATCTGAGCCGTTGGCTGACACCGTAGTTATCAGCCCGTGGGCTGACGGGATCCTCTTCCTATATATATATATATATATAAGCCACTACGCCATGCCTATGGGCAAAAATAAACAATGTTTTCTCCCATAGGCTCGACGCCGTCCAATTTGTTTGGACAACGTGCATTAAAAGACCGCAACGAACATGGCATGTCCATGGCGATATTTTTTCATGCAAAAAAAATACGAGAAACCGCCACGGCTTTCATAGATCCGTGGTGGTTTTTAAAACAAAATCGCAATGAACATAGCATGTCTGTGGCATGGCGAAACACTATTCAATTTCGCCTGGAGGCGTTTTTAAGAGTCTTTAATATATATATTAATATTATATACACACACACACCAGTGTTCGTAAAACCGGCCGATCTAACTACTAACCGCCCAGTTAGATCGGTTACTGATCAGTTCCGGTTTTGGGCGGTTTTGGTGATTAACAAATTTCATAACGTTTAAATAGAATACTACTACACATTTATATCAAATATTTTAGAATGGTGTCTTGGTTAGCGCAGGCGATTTTCGTTTTAAACATGGGAAAAGTTTATGTAGAGCCGAGGCTCTAAACAATCAAATTTGAGAATTTGAGCCTACCTCAAAAATTTCACTAGAAAATGTTGTTTTGATGCCCAAATATCCTCAAATTGATTATCTCGACATCAAGATGCATATGCATGAAAAAAAGATGGATTTCAAGTTTTGGAAATAGGGAATTTGTAACGCATTTTTGGACAGTCAATTTTCATGATTTTCAAGTTTTCATAGATCTATTGATATACACTATTTTTTAAACTTTAAACTTTATAAATAAATATAAAAATATATTTTAAAGCTATCACAAAGATTTCAAGTGTTGAAACCACATTTCTCGACACTATTTGAAGGTAGGCTCTAATTTGATGGTTTAGTGTTTGGGCTCCATACAAACCGCACCCTTTAAACATTGGTGTGGTTCATTTTAACAAGGGTGCAGTTTGCATACGGATGCATTCATTTTAACAAGGGTATTGTTTGCATACGGATGCATCCGTAGGCGTGAGGTAGGGTGCACCTTCAAATTTTATCATGGTTTATAATTTTGATGTAAAATTTTCTTAGGATTATCTCAAATTCTATTTTTATAACTAATTATAAAATTTTAAATTTCAAAAATGGTTAAAATCAAGTAGATGTATAAACATATGAAAATCTTGAAAATAGACGATGTAGATAATATGTTATAAAATGCATTATTTCTGAGACTTAAAATCTTTTTATTTTTCATAGTCATACATGTTGATGTTGAGATGATCAATCAAAGGGTTTTTCAACATTAAAACTATCTTTTCCGATGGATTTTTGAGAGGTATCCATAGTTCTACATTTTAAGGTAGCATCCTTATATAAACTTTTGCCTTTTAACAATTCTAAGAATTCATTACATTGGTAAGAAGTTCAAAAAATTTACTTGCCCGCATGAGTCAAGCTTGAAAGTTCTTGTAAAGAAATAATTTGTTATTAAACCCACTAACCAATGCACCATCTACTAATATGTCATTTACTACGTATTTACAAAAGGAATGGTCTATATTGTATATAACTTAATTTTTTTCCTTTTCTTTTAAAAAAAGAGTTGGTCAAGTCCATTTTTTAACACTATTTTAATACTATTTATATTATGGTAAAGACTAAAAAAAATTGTGGTCATTGATACTCACTTTTATATTTTCCCATCTTTTTCAAAAAAATTTAAAAATACCCCTAAACACAAATCAATTCGTTAAAATCCATTTTTTTAATAATTTTCAACTTTATTTGACTGTGTTTTATTTTAATCACATTCTTTATATGCTTTTCATATTTCAATAGTTTTTTTTTGTATCTTTTTTATTTTTTTCAACACTTTTTTTATCGTTTGGGACTTGCCCGATTAGAGTGGTTGAATCGGCCGGTTTACTAGTTAGACCGGTTAAATCGTTTCCGGGCCCATGACCGATTAACCATTCCGATTCAATTTTGCAAACACTGATACACACACCAATAAATTACACCTATAATATAGGATTTTGATTAAAAATACATGCCATCAATTGAATTTTAATATTCTTTGTACAAATCAGATCGATATGAAATCTTAGGTCTTTGTACTACATAATAGGGCATGCAAGAAAAAAACATAAAACAAATATTTTTCAAAATTTAAAATCACAAAATACCCCTTAAAATTAATAGGGCTAATTTGGTCATTCTAAATTTTTTAAAATATTTGTTCTATATTTTTATATGGTGCTTGATGGTGCCAAGTATATACGCTTAAAATCTTAGCTTAAACAAATTTGTAGAAAAAATATTAAAATTCAAAATATGATATTCATTTTCAACCGTCCGATTAAAATCTTATAGCCAGGAGTTAACTTACATTACTATTCACAAGTGCAATATATTGTTAGCTTTATCATATGCGGTACACCTACTCATGTACCTCACTTTGCATACTGTGTCGCACAAAATGAAGATGGGTAGTTAAAGAGCCATGATATACTTTTTATTTTTAGTTTTTATTTTAAATGCTATTGATAAGGGCGAGGATATTAAATTTACCCTTAAACCATAACAAGCGCGAGGAGGTAGAATGCATTAGATAGACAGACAGTTAATGTAAAACTTCACTACATATTATCATGAATCTTAGACCCTATAAATTGAAGAATAAAATTCATGTATTCAACATTGAGATAAATCTTGGATGATGATGATGACTTTTAAATGCTATTGGCATAAAATTCATTAGGACTCTCCCACTAAAAAAAATAGCTCAAATGAAAAATTGATAAATTCTCAATTTTTTATTTAAATTATTTTTTAGGTTTATTATGTGCGCCCTATGTTTGATACAAGGATGCCCCACATTTCAGGCCAATAGCACTTGTAAAAACAAAAAACAAAAAATAAATTCTCTTTATGGTGGTTCATTATGGGCCTTCGGATACTTTGTGTTATTCACTTCTTTTAATGTTAACACACGTACAAATTTCAGAAAACTATTCGCCCAAAAAAGTAAACGATAGAATTCCAAAATAAATATATAGACGAAAAATTTGAATTTAAAAGAAAAACACCTCACAGAAAAACTTCTTGAACAAAACTGGCCCACATGGTTCTGATGCTGGCATCTGCACCCAGGGAAATCCCAATGATCCAAGCACTGCTCTGCAAGTCATCTCCAGCAGCATCTCGGCATCAACCTATCTGGCCTCCCTTTCCATCGCACTAAGCTCCCTCATAGGCACATGGATAGGCAGCTCCCCCACCACCCCACCCTCTAAACTCTTCATGAAGGACATAATTTATGGAAACACGAGTGTGGCCACTGCCTCTGTTAAATACATATCGATCCTCTTTTGCTTCATGCTTGGGTTCATGTCATTTGTGCAGTCAACTCGATATTTCCTACATGCCAGTTTCTTGATAAGCAGCCCCGACGCAGGGGTGCCCACTTCCTATGTGGAAAAGGCAGTGATAAGAGGGAGCAACTTTTGGTCACTTGGCTTGAGGGCACATTACTTTGCTGCTACATTGCTGCTGTGGATTTTTGGGCCAATACCAATGCTTGTGGGATCCATTTCCATGGTAATTGTTCTTCATTTCCTTGATACCAACTCCACTCCCTTGCTTCACTACTGTCCTTCTGCAAAGCCACCAAGTAGGCACATGTCTCGTGCCGTGAGCCCTGGTCTTGACCCCATGCTTCTGCCACAACTTTGAGGTGGTTTTGGAAGGATTTGGTCATCAAAAGGAGGAACACTTCTCTGTCTCTCTGTTTTGAGTGTGCATGCAAGCGCAACTATGCATGAGCAATGCTGTAAGACAGCTCATATGTATCAACCTCTCTCTCTCTCACTCTCTCTCTCTCTCTGTGCCTCTGTGTGTACGCACAAACACGTTGGCGAACAGCTCATAAGTTGTGTGATCAGTTGGTATCAAGTATTATCAAGATAGCAGTGGGTATCAAGCATTATCAAGATAGCCGTGGGTTAAATGAAACTTAATGTTCATAGGCGAGGTGCATCTCATAGAGAGATTGATATCCATCGAATCTTACAAAATTTAACTAGGAATTGTACAGTGAGAAAAAGGGAAACTTCCCAAAGAATATAAGAGATTGTGAGCTCATATAGTTACAAAAGAACTCAGATACAGATAATACATAAAAGAAAGGGCTAGTGATATACTGGTTGGGCTACGAGGTATCATCAGTTTCCACATTTTCAACAGAGGTCTCCGATGAGGAGTCGATTTCACTCTTCTGCCCTTTGTTGTTTTCCGGTGTTTTGTTGCTTGCAGGGGTCTCTATGAAGGAATTAATGGCGAGTTGCCCTGAGTAAAGGAATAAACCTACAGAGTTTATTGCAAAGACGAAAGTTGCAAGGTAACACAAACCGTTCACGATGGTCCTGCAATGTCCAACATGCAGCAGGTTTGAAGTTCTACAGCATTAGGATGAAAATCAAACGACAAAGGAAAGAAGCGCAAAATACCTTACGGTTATTGTCATCTGACGAACCTGAAAAGTAAAGGAAGAACAATAGTAAGTTGAGAATTACAAAAAGTTAAATATGGGCCAAGGTCCATGTGTCAAGGAAAACATTGGTGGCAAATCACCAAGTGCAGAACTAAATTGCATGAATGATATGCTTGATGATATATGGCCCATTAAATGATGGCAGGCTAGTTACTAGAATGTGCTCAATTTCCAGTTTCATGAATTACAACCTAAACTTAAGTCCCCTGTTAGTGTGATCCTAAAAGTTCTTATGGATTCAGCTGAGAAAACCATCTTTGACATCTGAATTCATAGTAGGTATCATCACTAAAATATTTTACACTAAGATCATACTATATTTATTTAACTAAAATAGAAAAGGGAAAGTAGGAAAAATCAGAAAACCATTAAAAACAATAACAGTATCAACAAAAGCCATTCAAACCATGCAACCATGATTTCAGACAAATCCAAAGAGGGTTTACTACTTTCTTAAAGTTTTCAGTAAAAGTGGCTCCCCTCAACCAAATGTAAGGCACGCCTCCAAACCCTACAGGAAGCGGCAGTTCCAGTCCCCTTATGATGGCAGATAGCCTAAAAAATCTATTTCCACCCATGTATGAAATTTAAAGATCCAAAAATAGTGCAGATCAAGTAAATCTATAAATATTTGAAAACCATGAAAATGGATTGTCCAGACAGCGTATTACAAGCTGCACTTTTTTCAGGACAAAATCCAGTCACGAGCAAAATGAAATAGTACTTTGCTCATGGCCTCCAACCATTTGATTTCCATCGTACGGATGGCTAATACCAGAGGATGCTTCATACCAAGTGGCTAATGACTATTTGGAAATCACATGTAAAAGTGCTTATGTACTTACTACAGAGCATGGGGCCTAAAACAAAACACTTGAGGTCACATAGGGAAAACCAAGACACCTTAGGGCCTCGTTATTCGCATGGGTAGCTTATAAAAGTGCCGATAGAGAGTGAAAAGGGGGTTTCACATGCGCAACAACGGCTTCATACACAAGTCCAACATCAAAAATCATGTTAATTTCTTTATTGCATGTGCCTTTGTTAGTGAGAATTCACAAGCAATTACATGGAGATTCAACTTGAAGCCATGGTTGATTCAAACATCCAAAGTCTCTTAACCACTTAGCTCAAAAAGAAAGTTCCAAACAAGACCTTAGATAAGCTTCGGAGAGCATCACTTCCCACTGTAATTTGGACTATATTACAAGGAAAAAAACCCAAGAGCAAAGGAAGATCATCACCATACATTCAAGTGGCACTAAGGGAGATGAACCGGAAGATCCAAAACAAAACCCAGAAGCTAACATAATACCCCAAAGATTGAAAGAGAAAGAGTCCTACATAAAGGATATACAAACACCCATGACCCTGAGTGAGATACTATGCATGAGGTTTTAATTCATATAGAGAGATGGAGAGATACTTAAAGCGAGGCTCTATTAAATACTGCATCACACGAGGTCTATTTCACCTCTTGTGAATTTTCGTACATATTACAAACCCTCCTTAAATTTTAATGCATATGAGTATGGTACAAACCCCTGCTAGTGGAGCCAAAACGTAGTTCGCAAAATGGAAATACTATTCCATCCACCTCAAACAAGAAATATAAAACATGCAATCAAAGCAAACAAACAAACTCAAAGCAATTTGAATTACAAATACTTCAAACACAGACCATAGGAACATTATCTATAGAAAAACATGGATTATTCAATAGTGACATTTCCTAATCAATTCCAAAAACAAGCATCAAGCAATCCAAAAACAGCAACATTTACAACACAAAGACGTAGGAACCTTCAGAACTTAAGATTTAGGATTAGGGCTGACCGAAAAACTGTCCGAAATCGCCTGCCTATTCAACGCCCCCTCAATCGTAGTCGTAAAATTATAAAGAATCAATGCCACCACCCCAGCAGCGATCCCACCCAAAAGCGCCTGCAGAGGAGAAGGCGGTGCCCCGTCATCTAGCGTCGCCGACCCCATGGCCTTCAAGTTGTCAAGGGCCTCCTCCTTCAAGCTCTTCACTCCACTAGACCTAACTCTCTACAAACAAAATAAACCCAATTAAAACGACTAAGAACAAAAGATACAAAGTAAACTCTCAATCAATGTCACAGAACTCAACACAAGTTTCTTAACAGAGACAAAGTACTCAAAAAGCAAGTGTACCAGCTCTTTGGCTCGCTTTGCTCGCCTTCTCAGTGACCTGAAGAGGAAAACAGTGATGGCACCAGTGAGTAAAACACTGGTGGAAAGTTGAAGGGCCGTTGGCTCTGAGGCATCGGCCGAAGGCGGGAGGACGATGGGGCCGTTTTCTGGCAGGGGAAGGGCGGAGAGAAAGGTGAGCCATGGTGAGACGGAAAGGGCACTGTGTGGGGGCGCTCGGGGTCGCAGCAGAGGTGTGGGGAAGGGCGGAGGAGTGGCACCGATGCCCCACCGCTGATCGCTTCTGGGCGGCGAATGGCGAAGAGGAATGGAGGGTGCGGGGTTTGACAGGGTTAGCGGGAAAAGCATGACGATGAATGGGTTGGAAGGGGTTTTTTTTCGCGGCTGGGAATCCCCATGGAGTTGAGAATTTGAGATAAGAGAGCGCACAAGTGGTCCGGGCGGGCACATTGTATTTATATCTATCTCTATCAATCTATATATCGGGTGCAGTTTGTATGGAGCCGAGGCTCTAAACAATCAAATTAGAGCCTACCTTCAAATACTATCGAGTAATGTGGTTTCAATATTGGAAATTATTGTGATAGTATTAAAATATATTTTCAGATGTAATTATAAAATTTAAAGCTTTAAGAATAGTGTAAATCGAGCATATCTATGAACATTTCAAAATCTTGATCAATTTGAGGATATGTGGGCATCAAAATGACCTCTTCTAGTAAAATTTTTGAGGTATGCTCTAATTTGATTGTTTAGAGCCTAGGATCGATGCAAACTTTTCCCCTATCTATATGGGTATGGATTTATATTAGGCTTTCATGAGTAAGTGTTTATACAAGTGTGAGGCTCTAAACAATCAAATTAGGGCACACGTCAAAAAATTTACTAGAAGAGGTTGTTTTGATGCCCAAATATCCTCAAATTAATCATGCGACCTCAAGATGCATGGACATGAGAAAAAAAATGGATTTTAAGTTTTGGAAATAGTACATCTTGTAACGCATTTTTGGGCCGTCATTTTTTACGTTTTCATAGATCTGCCCGATTTATAATTAGAGAAAATATATTTTAAGGCTATCACAAAGATTTCCAGTATTTAAACCACATTTCTCGAGACTATTCTTTACTTTGATTGTTTAGAGCCTCGGCTATATACAAACCGCACCCTTTTATTAAGTGAAATTATAGCAAATATACCATAATTTTAGTTTAATTGGAAAAAAAAAAGCTCCAAACTTTCGTATATCTTGTCTACACCCTTTTTTCTTATTTTCGATTTTTTTTTACCAAAATAACCTTCACAGTAGTCCTACTACCGTAATATATGTTGCATTTGTTACGGTATTTAAAATACCATTATAACTTGAAGTAATATTATGGTACTTTAAGTACAGTGAAAATCTAACAATGTTATACAATATTTTATTACCGTAAGAAGTTGAATTTGTTTTACGGCACTCGAAATGCCGTAATACCATCCACTCTTATTTTCTCCTTTATGGTTCTGTTTCTACCGTTTTAAGGCTCTATTCTTCCTCACCACCTCAACATTTCTGGTGCTCAATCTCTCACAGGGTTTCTCTCTCCCCTATTTCCGTCACCTCATCAGATCTTTGAGGTAAGTAATATTTCCCAAATTTTATTTTTTTGACTACTATGTAGCATTTCAACCAATTTAGGGTAAATACATCATATATTGTCAATTTTAAGTTTATTTATCTACATTTCATGGTTCCATATGGGATTTGGTGCACTCTCTCTCTCTCTCTATACAGTGTTCACATGAAGTGGTAAATGACATGATTCTTCATGATTGTTATTTTTTTTTTTTTTTTATTACTTTGTTTTGGAAAATTAATGATATCTAAGGAAATGTGGCTGACAATAGTTGCAATAGTGTTATTGTACAATAGCCACAATTGTTATTCTATTTTGATATTTACGATAGCAAAACCCTTAATTAATTTTTTTTAGTAAAATCCTTATTGTTTCAAGATGCTCTCAGTTTGTGATTGTGTATGTCAGAGAGAGAGAGAGAGAGAGAGAGTTATATATTATTTTTTAGCTTGTTTTGAATGGGATTTTAGTGTTGGCATTGTTGAAATAAATGCTCTATATTGTTTTGGGTTGATATAGCTTTGATTACGGGTTAAAAATAAGCATGAAATTACTCCACTTTAAAATTTCTTATTGATTCAATTATTCTTGAGTAGTAATCATGCTCGTAAAACCAAGATGCTCGACACTATATCGATAACATTTTTGTAGCAAATCTATGATTTCTTTATCATGACAAATCTTCATAATTATCCATGAAAATACATATAAAAGTGATTTCTTGTTTGCCTTGTTAGTTAAACTTTGTGTCCCAATTATGATTAAATGTAGTTAAACTTTGTGTCCCAATTATAATTGAATGAGCTTCTGTAGTTTATTTTACTTATTCTTATTTTACTTTGTCATATCTTTTGTCAGGTGTTTGATAGACCGGCAGTAATCTATTTACCATGAGTTTGTTGTTTATGATGGTTTTTTTAACATGGATCATGGCAGAAGATGCACCCTACTCTAGAGGTCTTAAGATTCTTATATTGCTCAATAGACAGAGAGAGTATATATCACAGAAGATATGGGAAGGAAATGTATGTACAATTATTTCAAATTATATTCTTTATCTATCATGTAGGTTAAACAAATTATTTATTTTAGTATTTGAAATCACAAATTTCATTTCAAGATCAAGAAAATCCCCCTAGGGTTGATGAGAAGGTCAATGCAGCTTCTTTATGGCCCTTAACAAACAATGATCAAATCGATTTGGTTAGAAGATTAGGATTGTATCATCTGACCATAGTACGGATGACTCACCACTACCTTAGCACATTGTCTACTATGATCGAGAGGTGGCACGTAGAGACGCGTACTAGGCACTTCATTGTAAACGTCGGAGAGATGATACCTATTATTGAAAATGTATAGAAAATTCTTCGGTTAAAAGTGACCGGTGTAGCTACAACTCTTAGGAGAGTGAAGAAGTACGATGACTTTATTGGCTGCATGTTAGGACAAGTGCCACCTGGTGGTAACCATTTTATTATCCGACTGACATGGTTGAAGATACTTTTAAACAACTGCCACATAACTATAAGGGCACCACCCTTTTACAATACACTCGTGCCTACATCTTATATCTAGTCGGTTGTACAATCTTTGTAGATTCCACAGGTGGTTCGGTGCCTACAATATATTTACAGTTTTTTTAAGATATGGAAGTAGTTGGTCAGTATACATGGGGTACAACTGCCTTAGCCTTTTTGTTTCAAGGCTTATCAAAAGTTGATCGTCCTGGTCATCAACACCTAAGTGGATCAGCTACTCGTTTGCTAGCAATGCTCGAATATTAATCGTTTGCTAGTTTTTTAAAAAATTGATAGATATTTTTTGTTGTAATTTTATTTTTATACATGCATTTCAGTGCTGAGCATACAAGAATTTCAAATTGTTGCGCACAATTACCAAAGAAATAAGGGTAGGGCAACCTAGATCCCTCAGATGGGCCCCTCATAGAGTATGGGATAACTCTCATAACTTTCGTTTTATGGGACGACAGGCGACCGATAACGTGTAGATAAATAATGTTAGTATAGAATAGTTATTATTGATTTTGTTTATTTATAGTTTAATTAATTTTTGGTACAGGTTATTTAACTTAAAATTTATCCTTTTTTGGTCATAGGTCATGTGGACCCCATAAGATGATTATCCTGACCTAGGAGATGAAATTGAAGATGACAAAGATTACGGCATTATTATTCGTCAGACTGCTTTGTGTCGTACATATCTCATATGTCGACACATTTGTTAGGAGTATATGTCAGATCAAATGCTCTAGTTTGAATTTCACCAAGGGATATTGGCAGATCCCTTACAGTGGGAGTAGAGGGAGAGAAGGGGAAAGAGGATTGACAAATGGGTAGACGAACTTTGAAATGAAATAGACATGTGAACGAATAGGTTTGATTATAAGTGTCAAGCAGATGAAGATATGTTCAATGGAAACCGACAAAATAATTTATGGAGTGGTATACGCTAAGGACTATGCCCTTAATCCATTATCTATTTAGGAAACGTCCATCCAAATATGCACCTCGAGGTTACAATGATAAAGATAAAATGGTAATAATATTTTGAAACAGTTTCTGTTTTATTCGGAACATTTTAATTTTAGAAGTCTCAATAATCTATTTCCATATGACTTGATGCAACCTAGGGACATCAGCCATGTAGCTTGACTTGTGCGTGAAGGTTACAATTCAAGAAATTGGGACCTAATTGGGGAAGCATTAGATTCGCTCAAAATTTACGACCCATAAGCTGCAGGGGATGAAGATGCATTTGAGGAATTGGAGTTGGAGATGAGATGGAAGATATGTACCACCAGTATGGCTCCCTTCTTAAACAAATAAGGGGCCAAGTAATACACAATTCATCCCCACACCGATTCAAGCAGAGGAGCCTAGATGGCAGTTACGTTATCGCGTGCTAAGACAGCAGTAGAGCAGCTCAAATACAGAATTATAGTTGCCACAGTGGGGTGAGAAGTTGCTAGTACGACGAAAGCATTCATGATGATATTTTATGTTTTTTTGTTGTAAAGATGTCAGTAGTGCCTATATGTTGTAAAGAGGTCAGTAGTACCTATACTGTTTTTTTTGTGATGTGTTATATTTATGAAAGTTGAAATATCAATTTTTTGTGATATTTGTATATTTTTTTAATATTTGTGTTTGGTTGATTCAATGAGTTTATAACAATAGTCTGCATCTTATATGCTTATTGGAATGAGTAATTTAATAGTTTGGATGTGTCACAATTCCTTACAACCATTGGATGTGAAATTTAATAGGTTGGATGCGTCACAAAGTTCGAATTTAAAAAGATGTGTTGTTGAAGCTCACTTTTAAAAAGAAGTGATGTTGAAGATATTCAATTAAAAAAGTATGTGTTGTTTAAGCTATCCAATTTTAAAATGAAGACTAAATATAAAAAAACTATAAAAATAAATGTGGTCTTTCTTTTACCATAAAGCTCAGTTTCATCTTTACAGTAAAAAAAATTACCATAATAACATTTACAGTCTTTTGTTTACTGTAAAGATTAGTTAACGCATTACTCAAAATATTGTAATGCTTCAAAACCTGCTAGAAAAGTTGTGAAGTTTTGGAGCATTATAGTCTTTTAGGTATCGTAATGCTTTAACTAATATTTATGATAAAAAATCTACTGTAATAATCATTATAATCTTTTTAATATTGTAAAGATTTGTTAAAGCATTACAGTACCCAAAAGACCGTAATGCTCAAAAAGATTCTAAAAATGACGTGGAGGTTTGGAGCATTACGGTCTTTTGGGTCCTTTTGAAGTTATCGACAAAGTGATTCATACAACATCCTTGTTCACTAGTTGGGAATACTTTTTCAATTACGACTTTTAACCATTTCTGACGATCTGAGACAATAGTCAATGCTGGCAAATCAGGCCTCTTGTCAAACCACTCATTAAGAGGCTCTAGAAACCAAGTCCAACTTGGTGTATTTTCACTCTCAACCACTACATATGCTATAGGAAATATATTTTCATTCGCATCTATCCCAACTGCAGCCAATACTGTCCACTTGTATTTTCCCTTCAAAAATATCATATTGAGTCCCATCAGTATCCTGCAACCATACAAACATGGATAATTGCCTATAAACACACTCTCACACCTATCATAATCATCTGTTTGAATAACTGTTATGGTTCTAGGGTTAGTGATTCGGATCTTATGAAAGTACTTGGTGAGATCCTCGTATGCCATCACATAGGAACTCTAATTTCTCTCTTGTGCAACATCTTTGCCCAACCATGCTTGTTGGTAAGATAGCATAACACCGTGATCATGTTGTATATCATTAACTACATCTCCAAATATCAGACTGAGCATATCATTCATATGATCGTTGATATTGCTTGTCACCCAATGGCTTCGGACAAGCGGCTGATGAACCCTACTTATTCCACCGGTACCGGTACATGAGTGCATGTTTACAAACTTCTTCACCCTGAAAAAAGTTTGTTGTATTAACCCTCCAACAACGCACCTGCCATGAACACCCAGCTGCCGCATACCTCGCCCATACACGTCTCTCCTCGCTTTTTATAAACTTCATATTGAAGTTTTGTGATATGGCATAATCAATAAGGTGTGTACGTCATCAAAATTCTGACTCTGTCGAAGTACAACTTCGTAACTGTTAATCCTGATGGGACTTTCTATCAGATCGATGTCGTCAATATTCCGCTCTATTTTTAAAACATGCTTATCTTTTACATCTATACCAGCAACACCTTTACTACGAACTACTTTCTCTAGTAGGTAACTGCTATAGAAAAAAAAAAGAACAAGTGAGAATTATCCTAACCCATAACAAAATATTGATAAATAAAAAATAATGAATTTCATTACAAACTTCTTACATGATCAGTCTTAATGGACCATTATCGAGCACTATTGGCGGTCGATATTTAGTGGAGTCGAACTCAATAGATTTGTTTGATACGTGCTCGAGTAGGGAACTATGTCGAAAAAAAATTTGAAGAACAAGTAAGAATTATCCTAACATATAACAAAATATTGATAAATAAAAATAATAATAAATTTCATTGCAAACTTATTACATAACTAATCTTAATGGATCATTATCGGGCACTATTGGTGATCGATATTCGGTGGAATCGGACTCAATAGGTCTGTTTGATACATGCGTAGTGATGGGAGAAGACCCTTCCATCATATTTGTAATGTCATCATCATCATCAATAGGTATCATATTACTGTTACTTGGTAATCCTGGATCAATGTACCTAATAGTCATAGTACTTGGGGCATAATTTGATACTTTTTATAAGTGATCCTTTACTTGGTCAAATGATGGGATCCCCCTAAAAAATATAACCTTCATGCCCCTACCGTCATAAAAAATACGTCCATCATTAGATTTCCTATTAAAAAAACCACCAAAGTGTAAAACTATTTTCACTCTATTGTCACCTATTATTGTTGCGTACAAGCTCATGGATGAGAGATAGAGAGAGAGGGTAAGAAAAAGCTCAATGGATGAGAGAGAGAGAGGGTAAGAAAAAGCTCAATGGATGAGAGAGAGAGAAAAGAAGCTAAGGAAAATAAAAAAAGAGTAGTTTATGAGGCTAAAGAAAATGAGAAAAGATAAAAAAATCGTGAAAATAAGGTTTTATGATAAATAAATTGTTCAAAAAGGGAGGGAAATAACTACGGTAGTTCGAGTACCATAGCAAAGATCTGAGATATTACGGTATTAAAAGTGCCGTATAAAATTACGATACTTAAACTACCGTATAAAATGCTTAAGTATTACGGTACTTAAAGTACTATATAAAATACACTAAATATTATGGTACTTAAAATATCGTAACGTTCTTCACGATAATACGACTACCATGAAGGTTATTTTGGTCCAAAAAAAACTAAAAATGAGAAACAATGGTATTGACGAGGTTTACAAAGTTTGGGGTTTTTTTCCAATTAAGCTTAAATTAAGGTAATATTTGCGATAATTTTCTTTTTATTAATGTACTCATTTTAACATGATTTTTGTGGTATGTGGGAGTGCCATAAGTATTGGCTTTATGATAGATATCAACCTTAAAAGAGTGTTAGTTATTCTTGGTTCACACGTTTGTTAAGAGAGATGAGATTGTTTTGACTAGCAGTGAAAAGACTATTGAATTTGCATGGGTATAATGTGAGAGAGAGACTTTATTTCGTGGTTTAGAGAGTGCCACAAATAAAAGACCAACACAAAAAGAGATTAGATCCGTTATGAATCATGGATTAGCAAGAGACATATGTAATGCAAGTTGCAAGTGAGGGATTTTTTACATTTGCCTCTTTAGATCATTACAAACTTAGAAAAACTATCATGATGAATAGTCACTGAAAAATATAGTTTCATGATTTATTCTCTAATGCACTTATGTATGTGAAATTTTTGTATTTACACGGGTCGGAGATACACACTTTCTCTCAACTAACTAAATAGTCTAAAATTCTAAATATTTACTTATAAGTAAATTAAAGATATTTCAATTAATAGTAAATATTTACTAATAACTATAGCACGTGCGATGTATGTGCATAATACTAATATATTAGGAAAGATATAAAAAAATTACACATTATAAATTAAGCATATATATATATATATATATGGAAGAGACTACAAAACGATTATGGGCGAAAATGAATAGTATTTTCGTCCATAGGCTCAGTGCCGTCTGATTTATTTGGGCGGCGTGGATTAAAGGCTATAAGCATATTCGTGGAGGTCCGTCACGGATATAGCATGTCCGTGATAGGATTTTTTTCACACAAAATTGACGTAAAAAATATACAGGGTCCGTCACGGCTCTCGTAGGTCCGTGGAGGATTTTAGACAAAACCGTCACGAACATAGCATGTTCATGATAAGGGTGAAACACT